AAAAGTAAAAGCTGAAACAGTACTTCAGGTGACACTTTTGATGCATGAAAACAACTGTAAGTAAACTCGTTTACCACGTTGGCGGTAGTAAATTGACTGTAAAGTGTACACTGCCTGACAAGATTTCAAAATCGTGCCAGCAGAAAGAACACATTCTATAAATACTACCAAACAGTTACAAGTCCTAAGGTTAAAGCATCTGTGCACATCATGAAATATGGGTATCTCACTGCGAAAAATTTATAACAAGATGCAATTCAATATTTTGTTCATTCAGGGTAAAAAGGAAACTACACATGGTAACTCAGTATTACCATATAGTACACTAGCCAGTTTGGTTTATTTTTAGCTAAATACAGGGCCACATGATTGGCAGCAAGGCCTCATATGTAGTTGGCAAAAGGGCAGCCTTGTTGGAATGAAGCATTATTATTGGTAACATGGTAATATAATGAGCAAAATAGCAACATTGTTGACAACAAAGCAATATATTCTGGCAGCAGAGCAACTTACATGTTAGCAATTGAGCTTTATTGTTGGCACCATAGCAGAATGATCGGAAAGAGGGCGGAGCAGCCGCAGGATAATTTAATTCAAAGAATGTGAATTAGGAAGTTAAAATTGTGAAAGGTAAATTTGAAATTTTGAACAATTTATGTGGTTTTGTAAATGTTATGCTGAATACAAAGATTTTAAGTTTTAATAGTGTTGTTTGTTTGCACAGTTTTTCAGTACTGGACAAAATCTAACAGAATCACATCAAGATCTTGGAGATTTATTTTATGAAAATATTGTATAGTGTTATGCATAATTAAATTACTTGTGTGTTTCAAATTTTTTATTTTATTTTATTTCATTGCATGTTATTGTAATGATAACTTTATTCATTGGATTTAAATTTTTTTAAAAAAAATTAAGTTCAGTTCTGTTTTGCTATATTGTGTTTTCAGCAGACCCAGTTCCTGACCATGATTCAGAATTTGTAACCAACTTTAAAAATTTTTTCCAGAGTGAAAAACATTGGTTGTAACCAAAGTCATATTTGGCTTGTTTGTCAGCTCTGTTGTAAACAAGTTTTCTATTTTTTTTAATTATTGAATCTTATAGTAATATTCGTTAGGAAGAATCAGATTCATCCATGGCATGTGTGTCAGTCATACTGTCATACTATGCCATTTGAATAAAGTGACCACGTTACTCCATCACGTGATCAAAAACTGCCTTAAAAACTAACACTTTGAATTATTTAGAACTTTTTAGTGATTGGACTTGTATTTTTAAATTCTATGATTAAGTACAAACCATCAGAGATAAACTTGACAACACAATTTCAGTTGACTTGTCATCACCATACAGTTGCGATACAGATTTTCAGTGACAACCATTAGCAGCATTAGAACCTGTCTCTATGGATTTAGTACATACAATCATGATGAAGAGTGCTTGGATCCAATATTGCCTTCACTAACTGATGTTATTATTACGTCTCTCTCATCTGTGGAATTCCCATCATTTTTCAAAACCGCCATTGTAAAGCCTCTGCTGAAGAAACCAACACTCAACCCTAATGACCTAAAGAAATACTGCCCAACTTCTGATCTCCTATTCATGTCAAAAATCTTAGAAAACATTCTATCCCAACTTGCATTTCATATGAATTAAAGTCTTTTTAGCAATGTACAGTCTACATATCGCCCTCACCACAATGACCTTCTCTCTCCTTTGGATAGCAGAAAGACTACAATCTTTACTCTGTGACTTGTCTGCAGCATTTGACACAATAGACCATGATATATTACTTCACCATCTCCAGCATGTATTTGGCATTTACGATATGTCCTTACTATGGTGTAAGTTCTACATGGTCAACAGGACTCAAATTGTGTCAGCAAATGGAAAACACTCCAGCCAATTGATATATGCTGTGGTGTTCCACAGGGGTCTGTTCTTGGACCTGTTCTCTTCATTCTATACACTCAGTCACTTTCATCATCATCCAGTGTCTCATCAATTGTATTCTGATGACACCCAAATATACAAATATAGCCATCCAGCTGAAGTTGAAGCTACCATCCAAGGTGTAGAGAGGCGCATTTCTGAATTTCTGATTTGAAATGATGGATGACATGTAACAAGCTGCAGATGAATGATGATAAATCTAAAGCCATCCTGATTACAACAGACTTTCTCATTCACATCCTTTACCTCAGACAATAAATATCAGCAACACCAACATTAAATTCAAGCAATCAGTACAAAACCTCAGTGTCACTCTTGACAATACTATTTGCATCAACATGTTATTATCATATGTAAGGCTGCATATCTTCAGCTAAGATGCATCAGTTCCATTCGCAAGTATCTGTCAGTTGATGCCTCTAAAACACCTGTGTTTCTTAGTACTTTTAAGACTGGACTATTGTAACTCAACTCTGTCTGGTTCATCTCGGTATCTATTTGAAACTTAAAAAAGTTCAAAACACTGTTGCTTGGATCATCCTTTGAAACACCACGATCAGAGCTCAAATTTGTTCTCTATGCTACATTTCACTGACTGGCTCCAGTCCAACATACCTATCTGACTTCACCCATATGTATACACCTGCAAAATGCTTATGCTCCTCTTCTGACACTTGTATTCTAATTATTCCCACTATGAAGTTGATATCATATGGACAATGTTCTTTTGTATACCATGGCCTAGCATTGTGGAATTAATTGCCTACTGAACTTGGACACAAAGACACAGTGATCTCATTCAAGAGCATTCTTAAAACTCATCTATTTCAACTGCAAGAACAGTCATAAAGACCTAATAATATATCCTTATAATGTATCCTCACCTTAAAAATTTACAGCATGTTTTTCTGCTTCAAATTTTGTTGTTTGTTTTAATTTCTGTAATCATATCATTATATATATTTTTTATTCTTTTTAAGTGTTGTCAAATGTAAAAAGCTTAGAGCATCTAAAGATTAGGTACTATATAAAGTCCTCATCATTATAATTATTATTATTATTATTATTATTATTATTATTATTATTATTATTATTATTATTATTATTAACACTTTATAGTGATATTAGTCATAAAGGTGGCGCTCTACAGTTTCGTATTTAGCATATGGTTAGAATTTTAAAGAAAAAGAGTTTTCCTGTGTTACCTCACTAGTTATACTGGCTATTTAAAAGAGACTTTGTATATCTTAGGTATTGTTCAAAGAACCTTTAATTCCCTTTATTTTGATGTATGATTGATGGGTGTAATATGGGTTTAGAGAGTATACAGCTCAGCCTAACTCCAGATGTGCACCTTTCAAAATAGTGGCTCATTTTCACTTCTCGAACTTGAGGTAAATTGTAAAAAATAGAGCCGATAACTTTTTTTTACATTTTATGTATTTGGTAATTCGTTTATTGCACTTTTAGAAGCTGGTATTGTCTAGTTTGGCAAAATTAATTTTCCATATTTAAAATAACTGCCAAGAATATTGTACTTTAGACAAATTCAGGTTGATTTTTGGAGCACAAGTGAGCAGTCATTTTAGTTAGCAGTGTCCTAAGATCATTTAAAATTTCCAAAAGTTCAATATCCAAAGAAATTTCAGCCACATTACATGAAAGTAGTATATAGGTATGCCAAAATTTTCTCCACTATGCATGTTCAAAATGCAAACAACTTCACCTTACATACATCACTCTCTCAAAAGTACATAATAACTGGTGAGTGCCACCAAATTAATACCATTGGAGGGCAAAGATATTTTGTGTTATGACCAATTGAGTTTTTCTAGTTTTCGGAATTTGTACTTAATTTCTTTAAAAAGCATACATAAGTGCTCATCAGAATTCTGGGATAAAGATATTTATTGGAAATTTTTCAGAATTCTAAAGCCGGAATATTAATGTTAGTGATTCAACAAGAATTTTTGACACAACAGCAAAAGACAGGATATAAAAGACGTCATTGCCTTCTAACTTGGAACTTCATCGGGATTTGAACTTTGACTCATTTAGAACTTTTTAGTTATAAGACTTGTATTTTTAAATTCTATGATTAATGTTTGGATTAGATTCACAAAGTTTTCTTTTTTATATCTTTGCCTATTTTCTAGGGAAAAAAATTATTTTGTTTAATTTTACAAAGCTTGTTGGGTTCACTCTTTATTGTTACATTTGAATGAGCTTAGACATGTAACAAAGATAATTGGGAGTTCGTCTGGGATATATAAATGTTTGGCTAAAATATTTCAGAAAATTGTTTTATGAAATTTAATTTCCTCTAGTTTACATCATATTTTAAATCCCAAGTACTTTTTTACATTTTGTTTGAAATCTTTACTGAAATCAACAGGTTTTTTCACTATGTCATCAAAAGTGGAGCAGTTGGATTGTTTGAAAAAAAGATGAATTGCTTGAACTTGCCAGAAGATATGATCTTTCCAAGGCAAAATCTTCCTGAATGAAAAATATAATAAAAAATATTTTGATCCATTATTTGGTAAAAAAAAGATTATGATAAAATTATTTTGGGTTGATCAGTAAGACTGACAGAAAAGTACAGGAATTAAAACTAAAATACAAGATGGAATTAGAGTTAAGGCAGCTGAAACTTTAGAAAGATAAAGAGGAAAAACAAATGCAAATACAGTTACAATTGCAGAAAGGAAAAGAACAAATGGATTTACAGAGAGGAAAAAGAACAAATGCAGTTTCAAAAAGAAAAACATGCAGTTACAATTTGAGAGTGTAATGTGATGTGATTATGATTTTTTAACATAGCTTTAACAAGTTTTCAATTATATTGCTACAATGTCTGCAGTGTGGAAGTTTATTTGTGATGTTTAGGACTGTGGTATCATGCCGCAGACATGTAACATGATCTTCCACCCAGTCACATCCTGACACCAGGCTGACCAATCCTAACACTAACCTCTTAATGCTGAGCATCATGCGAGGCAGCCGTTAGTACCATTTTTGTAAGTCTTAAGTCTTTGGTATGACTCTACCGGGGATCGAACCCACAACCTTCTTCATCCGAGGCAAACGCTGTAACCACTAAGCTGCTGGAGTGGTTAGAAAGAGGAGATGGAAAGATAAATGAAGTTACAATTAGAAGAGAAAGAGAGGGAGAGAGAGAAAAGATACAAATGCAATTTGAAGAAAGAAAGACAAATGCAATTACAGAAAGAACAAATGCATTTACCATAAGAAGAAGAAGAAGAGAGAGAAAGAAAAAGCTTAAATGAGTAGAGCTGGCAAGTGAAAAGCACATTCCCACTTCACATACAAGTACAAGTTTCAATATTACAAACAATATTAGGTTAGTGCCCTCTTTCAGAAAAAAGTAGATATATTTGTCGTTTTGAAAAATATGCTGAAAAATTGAAATGTCCAAGGGAGTATTAGACTCAGTTGCTTCAATGTGTACTTAATGGAAAAGCTAGTGATGTTTAATGTCAGATCATTAATGTGCTGACTGATCTGCTTAAGGAATGAATTTTGAAGGGTTATGACTTAGTCCCTGAGGCTTATCAGCAAAAAATTAGAAACTACTATAGAAAAAGAAGCCGAACAAACTCCTGTCGAATTTGCAAGAGAAAAAGAGCAGCTATTTGAGAGATGGTGCTTAGTCAAGAAAGTTGAACATGATTATGAAAAGTCTCAAAGAACTTGTATTACTTGAAGAGTACAAAAACTGTGTCCCTAGTGACATTAAGACTTGATGAGCATATGATATAAACCTTGTAAAATGTTGCCTGTGCCACTGAGGAGTATTTCTCAACTCATAAGATTACTTTGTAGGCAAGTCTTTCACTCCGCAGTCTTCTGGTAAAAGATAATTCAGTCTAATATAACTCCTGTTTAAACTCAGTTTGGCACAACTTTTAGAAATTAGGCTTCTGATAAGCTTGCTTCAATATCGTTATCTCTTCCTACGTGTACCTATTGCAAGAAGAAATTACATGTTAATTCTGATTGCTTCAAATTGTAATTTTAAGCATCAGAATGAAGATGAACTTATCCCAAATGCTTATTTCTAAGAGGTCAAGGTCATATTTTGAAATAAAAACATTTTTGGGTCTCATAAATCCCAGTCTGATTTTGTTATGGAGAATTATGAATCATTCATGCCGATGGGTTATATATTACTCTTGGGTGATTTGACCAATCCTATCCCTATTAAAATGTTAAGGGATATAAAATCATATCAGCCTTTTATTATCAGGTACTTTGCCATTTTCTGATAAGTCTTCTAATCAGAGTGTTCTCATTCAGGGAGTAGAGTGCGGCTTTTTAATGTTCGTCTCCATTCTGTATATTTGTCATCAGACTTAGTTTCAGGACCTGAGACAGTTGTCATTGTGTGTTCTTTACCCGTTCTGGGCATTCATTTATTACTAGTGAACGACCCAGCTGGAGACAAGGTTGTAGTTAATCCACTTGTAATTGACAAGCCTTCTTTGGATCAGAAAGTTGCTCCTCTTGAAAATGAATTCTCTGATTTATACCCAGCTTGTGTAGTTAACAGAGCTATGGCAAAGAAAGTTCTTGACAATGATTTTTGTCAAGGAAAGTTCCTTTAGCTGACACATGTATTTGTCAGACTTTTGATGATGTCACTTTAATTTCTTGTTTGGATCAATAAAAAAAGTATTGATCACCGTGATCCTCATTTAAGTATTTTTTTTTTTCTAATAAGGTTGATAAACGACACTTGTCGAACAGGAAAAAGATCCTGAGATCTGTTTGCAGACATGATTTTCTCTCCTTTAAAACGGAATTCTGCTTTTCTCCTGATTTGAATAAGATTTTTTATGATAAAGACTTTTGTTTATATTATATCCGATCCGGTTTTAAAAAAGAAACGGATTATCAGGTCCATTTCTAAAACGACCTTGTTATGTATTCGTTCCAAATATTAGCGCATGACTCTCGTAAAGTATTCTTATTGGTCAAAAGTTTAAATTCATCTAATGAATCTTAATGTAATGGGGACTGTTAAACATGGTGTCACAAATTGTTGAGAGAGACCATGATACGAAAAGTTTAGATAAAGGTTTAAAAAAAACAAAACATGGAAATTGGAATGGCGGGAGCAAAAAGTTGACGGAAATTTAGTTGATCAGTTTATAAGAAAACTGAACGCTACAGGAGTGGCATTTTGTGACCTCTGCAAGAAAGATCTTTATTACAGTAATTGTGGTTGGAAGAGTTTAAAAGGGCACCTAAAAAAGCTGCATACGGAAAAATTGAATGTCAGAGGGCATCTGAAAAAAGTGCAGTTACTATAAGAAGAGATATTTTTAGCATGAGAGAACAGATGCAGAATATGCGTACTGCATGTCGCCAATACACGCACTAGCTTCAAAAGGAAAAGGCTCTCATTGAGAAGGAAAAGAAATGATTGCACGTTGAAACCAACAAGTAAGTAGTGACAAAAAGGAAGGCTAACTAAATCTTTGCCAAAGCAGTAAAAAGTTCTTGATTAGCATATCAACAGGTTCTGTTCAGTGGAGAAAAAAAACGAGTGAATGTATGGGATTATTTGTATATAGTTGATGTATTTGGTTTATTTGTTATAAATAAAGAGAAGTATAATATTTTTGCTGCAAAAATTGACAAATTAATTTGACTTATTTAAGATGTAAACACTGACATGCACATGAAATAATTTCAGCATCAGTAGTATTGGAGAACAAATAATTGTGCATATAAATATGAAATTATTCAAGTCAAGTTAAGCATTTTTGGTACGCTTTTTAGTTTTTCAAATGATTATTTTGTTTTATATTATGATCAAAAGTTGCACCAGGATCAGTTTCTTACGACTGCAAAATGCATTTGTGGCCGGGGGCCTTTGACCCCAGGACCCCAGATCAGGAGCGAAGCTCCTTTACATCCAGTTGGGGAAGAACCCCCAACCCCCTTTGAAATTTGTCAACTTTTTTAGGGAAGACCAAAATCATATAGGTACTTTGTTTTAGATGGCCGTTATTGAAATTGAAGCGACTAAGTACTGTCTGTTATTTCATTAAAAATGAAATCCTTTTGAGCACATGGAGACCTCCAGAAGTACCCCTGGTGACGAATAGTCATTGAATTATCCAATTGTAATTACGAAATCTTACTACAAAAATGGCAATTATTGCACAATAAATTATACAAAGATTCAACATTGACGATGAACAGTGTCATCGCAATGGTGACGAAAAACTTAACGAGTATTACCTTAATGCTGGAGAAAAATGGATACAGTTGTCTATTACTGCTTCAGAATATAAGGTAAGTGAAAACAGTTTACATTCGTATCATGTACACACAGGGTTTCAAAAATCTTTCCCCAGATGTTGATTATTTAAACAAATAAAATGTATCAAATTGTTGTTCATTTGTATAAAGGTCATATATCAAAACTGTTACTACAGTTAATATTATTTGCGTTGGAAACAGGTACAACTTTCCAACACGAAGGGAATGTAAACAATAAAAGGAGATTATAATTTATCCCAAACATTAATGATATGTGCTAATGCACTTTATTAAAATAATTACAAGTCGACAGTAGTCCGGATTGTTTCAGTATGACTGGAGAATTGTTAAAGCTGCATTAAAATACAACGCACACATACACACACACGAGCACAGCATGGATGTTCATTAGTTTGGATATTTAACATTGCACAGAGATGGGTCTCAGTCTAGGAGAGGAAACTTGTTCATAGATTTGTTTGAATAGGTTAAGAAAAAATACTTATGTTTAAGAATACAAGTATTAATAAACATTCGTTAATTTAAACAAAAACGAATTTGATATATCCTTAAGTATGCAATCTTGAAAGTTGGAGGTAGTAGAATTGAAACTGAGAATCAACTTCAAGTCAGTGTAACTGAAATACAGAGGAAAACATGTTTTGAAATGTTAATTTTATTTTTGACGTTCTGATCGTAATGACCATGTTATGTTAAAGTCTATGCATTTATCATAAGTAACAAAGAGAGTGAAAGACAGCAAGATTTGCAAAATTTCACAAATATATTTATTTCCGTAGAATTCAGAGTGAACATAGAAAGAACAAATTATGGCATTAATAACTTAATCCCAAAATAACCCAAGAATTACAGATACAGTCCTCACATATACAAGATTGTATAGTTCTTTGCTTGTCCTCAGGTCACAATTAGCATTTTCTTAAAACAAAACACCATTACCTAATGGAGAATAAATTTCTAGAATGATCCTGATGTTTACAAAATCAAAATCATATGTAAAATTCACTTGGCAAAGTCCACAAATTTGACCCAAATCTACGTATTGTATTAACAATAATTCTGATATTAACCTCATAAACATAGAGAATAAAAAACGTATGTATTAGTTGTTTACAATGAATAAAATAAGATGTTTTAAAAGTCAAGCATAAATGAACTCTGTTTTGGACAAGAACAAGTCCTGCATACAATGTTACAATAGCATGCACTGAAATAAAAGAAAAAAAATTAAAACTATCAAATAAACAAGCAAATATGCGTAACACTTCTCCTAATAAAGAAAGATATATATTTATGCAGTACAGCTTTTTCACTATGAGTTAAATATACATGTGGTAAAAAAGATGAAATTTAGAATTACTCTCTGCATCAAAACAATATATTTCTATACATGTGAAAGTGCATCTTCTATTAGAGAGCCCAAAATAGCCGAATGGTCTAAATGGTCCATTGCACTCACAGTTAAGAATCACTGTCATTTCAACCCGGTTGGCGTGGTTTCGAATCTAAGGCTCAGCTAGTGTGGGTACATGAGAAAACTTTCCAGTAGCTTCGTGTGGGTCGGTGATTCTATCCTGGTTTTTTCCCCGTGTTTTTTCTCCACCAATCATACTGCCGCCAAGTATAGCCTATTTTGTGTTGAAAAAATGGCGTTAAACTCTATTACAATAACAGCACTTTCTATTAAATTGTCTTTTCCATTAACGTTCCTGACGGCAGTATTGCATTTATGCATCATGAAACTCCACTTTAATGATTCCCCTTTTATTTTTCTTGTTACCGATGAAATTACGT